ACACTTGTTATTGATCACCAATCTTGGGATAAGACGTGCCCCTTATTTATCTCTTTTCAACGTTTGTGGTTCCTTTATGACAATCCACATCATTTATTTAAAATGCTGAGTTAACATATGTTGTCTCAAACTTATTGTTATATTTACAATCATGCTACAAGTACATAAAATTTTAATAGACAACACATGACGTGAAATTACTAGAAGATGGAAAAATAACAAACAAAAAAAGGCAAATCAAATTTCGCCACGTCAGCATCTATATGAATTCGGTAAGAAATTCTCTGTACTTGAGAATTTTCCCATATATTTATGATATATCAGTACATCAAATCTTATTAACAAATGCATGGATGAAAAGTGTAATGTACCGAGGTATCAAAAAATGTGTTAGTATCTTTTCATTTACAAAGATAATGTAATGTGTTGAAATGTTAAAAATGTAATGACAGACAACAATTTTGAAATAGGATTTACCCATATGTACCGAATGAGGGGTACCAATGGTGCCCCCCCCCCCCTCACAATACAATGCAGAGTACGCGTGAATTTAAAAATGTCAACATGTGATCGCTCATCCCTGTTGTGAGTTGTAAGTAAAAGAATTGGTAAAAAAATTTAGTACGTGTAGCATTGTCCTTTGAGATAATAAGTCTTTTCGTTTATTAGCTTAATTTTAAGAACCAATGGCTCATTTATAAATGATATTCGATTATGTATTCATAGACACTCTCATGTGTAAACATGTAAAGCGAATCATGTAAATTTACATGCTTTTGAAGTAATTCAATGTATGTTATCACATGTCTTTCCTATCGATGTTCTGATTTATCGAGCAGCCCATCAGCCCGACACAGCTCAAACGGGCCTTGTCGCAGTAGACGGGATTTTCGCTTCCGATAGGCCCAAGAAGGGTTAGGCAATCGAACAGAATTTAAACATATACATTTTTTTTGGGTGCTTATATGTGTTTACATGTGATCTCATACACATTAGAATTTGACTAGGCTACAAGTCTCAATTTAATTTCAAAATTTTCAATTAAGCCATGGTTAAGTAATATAAAGTCAGAAGTTAATATTTTGAACATTGTTTACACAAGTTGCTTATAATTTTTATCTATTGACTAAACCAGTATGTGTAGAGAACTTGAAGAAATATTATCCGTATTTAATAATTATTTAATATAGAGTACTAAATAAAGACTAAACAATACCAGACAATATTGTAATTTCTTATATTATACAATCCAACTAATCAAGCACCAGCAAGAATGGCAAGAAATGAGGCAAAACCTAACACAACTAAGGACGTATCGTGTGGCATTTGCAGTTAATTTGATGAATAATCAAAGCTCTTCCACAGATAAACATCCTTTTTTTTTTTTATCCTCATAGTATCAGATACACAAGTTACTTTGAATAATCTTGTCATGAGAGAGAACTTACATTCATAATGTACTCCAATATATTTTTTTTTTTGCCTCATAGTTTAGTGAAACCAAGTTTGTTAGAAGCGTACTAGTTTCGACCTTATCGCTTTTTCGTAAAACGTTTTGAAATATTTCTTTAAGAAATTTGGAATTCTACGCTTCATGATCACTACTCATTCAAGTCCCATTTTATTCGTAGAACTCTTATTCGTAAGAGTAGTGATTTGTTCAGTAATTAACGCAAGGTCTAAATCCATACCGTCAAGAATGAAACAAACGTTCTCTTTCCAGCCCTTAAACTTTAGTTCAAGCACAGGAATCGAATTGATATTGGCAAATATTACAGAAGTAGATGGATTAACCGAATAAAAAACCTAAACCTAAATAACACCATTTTTATAGGAATTAAGACTTCTCATTCTTTTGAATTGCATCAGTTTCTTAAATTTATTTAATAACGCTGTTAGTACTTTCATTTCTTTTTTCATTGTATTAAATGGAGAACAATTTGGAACTCAACTTTGCACTGGTCAAATGGAATCCTGCCTCGTGCTTGATACTGTATAATAAATATTATTTTGTAACGTTCGAAACTAATGAATTGTACTAACCAGGGACAGATATCACAATGTCGATGTCAAAGTTGAACTTCCCCAAAATGTTATGATGTTCTAAGTTCGTGAGGGAATAGGGATGGGGCATAATGGTAGACATTCCAGTAGTTAGGATTGCTAACATTACTGACGCTTCTGGGAAATGTATTAAATTGATATCTCAACTTATAATCAAAGTGCCAGTCTTTTTAATTTTTTACTCTGTGAGATAAGATATAATAGGATCTACGAACGAAATATGGACTCTAAGCACCATCTAGAATAAAAGTTGTGTGTGTAGATATGCAGCATTACATTTTGAAGGTGGAACACATAAACAGATGTCTTCCACAGGTAAACCAATTATTGCAAGTCGCTCAGAAATGCCAAGGCTCAACAGAAGAAAGTGGACCTGATGGGATTTCTTCCCAGGATTTACAGGCAAACAGCGTTATGTGAGTGACTTTCTTCTCGTTTCTTCAACTTTTTACTTCCACTGAAGACTTCATCCTTATCTCTAGAAGGGGAAATATCATTTGTTGATGTATTTGAGCACTTCATAATTCTATGATGCCCGGACTCTGGTACTCGTACGTATCTAAGTGTCGATTCTTTTATTTTCTAAAATGTAAAATACGAGACATGGCTAAAAAAAATCCAAATTTCAGACACGAGTACGTGAGTACATCTTTCAAGCTTTAATTTTTTCGCTAACACAAGATGTCAATTTGAATAGGTAAAAAATAATGGTTCACGAAGAAGGAAATGATTATTGAATAAAGGGTTCGGACAAATAAAATAGAATTTTTGGGTTTAGTTTTTAATTATGGAAAGTTAATTACTAAATGTTATATAAAATAGAAAATGAGTGACTTAATTGCAATTTGAACTTAGTGGAGTACTAAGTAGCACTATATAGAACCCATTTTCATTTTATACAAACGAAATCCTAAACCATCAATATAGAGAGGGAAAGAAAGGGGGCGAAAAAAAAAAGAAGAATAAAAAAAAAGAGGAGTAGGGAAAATCTAGCGTTGTTGCCTCTCTCCATCCTTTCGGATACGGCATTATGTTTCTCCCTTAAAAAAAAAAAAAAAAAAAAAAAAAAAAACACATATTGCT